AACTATCTATAATACTTTTAGAAAATCCAGGAGCGGGTGAAGGGGGTGGGCTGGGTCTTCTTGCATATGGTGATGAAGATCTAGAATTGGCAGGTGGGGTTCGTGGTGGACTAGGATGTATAACAGCAGGCTTGAAAGCATTCTGAATGGTGCTCAGTGAACTTGGAAATGCAATATCTTTCAACTGTAAACGTGATGGAACTTGAGAAGCTCGAACTATGGAAGAGGAATCTGACCTCCTTCCTGGCTTATTAGTCCTTATCTCAAGGTATTTTACAGGTTCTGTGATGGGAGATAAGAGAACTCTTGAAGACCTTGTATCTACCCATTCTATTCTCTCTCTATTATCTATTGATCTACGCGGAGGGTAGTTCTTCTGCTAAAAGTGGAAGCGTGGCCAACATCAACTGTTTTAAGTTTCGCATAACATGCATCACAAACACGATGTGGTTTTCCTGGCGTTGGAGCTAGTGCTGCTTTCAATGCCTTCTTAGAGCTACAAGAGTGACAATGTACCAATCCACAATGATAACAATTGTGCCTTTTTCTAGTAAAACCAAATGCTTGCCGGCAACCAGAGCAAATAGACTGGTCAACTCCAGAGACCCATTTATGGATGCAAATACAAGACATGAAGTTTGAGCCACATGAAATGCTTTTTACATGCCTATCTCTTAAGCCTTCAACCATTGTTGGAGACTTCCGATCGTCTATGTCTCCATGTCCCAGTCTTCCATTGGCACCTTTCCCCCAGGTATATAGTTCACTTCTCGACGTTAAGGCAGCAACGTGATGTTCTCCACATGCTATTTCCTCAACAAATTCACCAACCAACTTATCTTGTACCATGACAGGTGCTTTTCCATCAGATAGAGGATTCCCTAGTTGGCCATTTGCAGTGCCTCCCATTGTGAAGACTTGACCAGTTGTAGTGAGGGCGACCGTCAGAGTGCGCCCACATGCTACTTGCTGGAAATTGAATTCAATAAGTGTAGAGACACAGGTGGGTTGGAGGTAAGTTTCCTTGTTACCGTGACCTAAACGATATTTATCACCATCACCCCAAGTGAAGAGCTTCCTTGAGGAGACATTTGAGCCAATTTGGCCCATAACCTCTACAATAGCTGCAGTGTGCCAAACTCCACATGCAACCTTAATGGTCTTTAGTCCGCTCAATGATTGCACCTCCTTTGGATATGACACACTCTCTTGATCTCCATGGCCCAAGACACCAAATGCTCCATCACCGAAGGTAAACAATTTTCCATTGGAGGTTGCCAATGCTGAATGCCATGTGCCACATGCAACAGATAAAACTTGAAGTCCTTCTAAAGGGCCTACGATTCTCTTTGGTATCCAGTGGCTAATGTCAGTTCCATGACCAAGAAGTCCAGCGTGGTGTGTGCCATCACCCCAAGAAAATAAATCACCGGATGTAGATACAACACACGTGTGATACTCTCCACATGCAACAAATTCCACATTAGTAACTGCTAGGAATTCAACTAGACGAGGGCGGCTGAAGCTTTTATCAATCCCATGACCAAGTCTTCCCCCACACTCTTCTCCCCAAGTAAAAAGCTCTCCTTGCCTTGTAACTAGAGCAGTATGGTGGACCCCAGATGCAATCTGTTGAACATCAAGAACAACATTTGATTCTAATGGCTTAGGAATCAAGAAATCTGTCTTCATAGGGACCTGATTCCCCAATCCATCAGACGAAATCCCATCTGACCAAACCTCTCCCCATACATAAACATCTCCAAGCGATTCTATGTCATCTAGTCCAGATCCTGCACTTGACACACTAAGACGGAAATTGTCTCCAGCACCTACCCTCAGTTGCATGTTTGCACGTTCTAATCCCACATCTGAGTTTGCCCAATTCAATAAAGTGTCACGAGAAGCTGAATCAATGGAAACTCGACCATGAAGACTGCTTGAAGGATACTCTACCGTTGCACTGAAAGGACGACCATCATGAGTAAAGTCAATGCTCCCTTGCAGCTGAAATTGAAAAGAAAAAAGAAAAGAAAAAGGAAAAAAAAAGGTACCTCAGTGAAATGTTGCAAGATATAAACCTGCAAAAAATGGTCACTGCTTGAAAAGAAACATTTGTGACTTGCAATTTCTTTAGTTAAGAGAAACAGCAACTTCTTATACAACATCTCAAAGTACAATAAAATTAGTAGATGATAAAGGTGTATGGAATGTATGTGAAGGTGGACTTCACTTGATGTGGGAGAAATTTCATATCAGATGAAATTGAGCCAAAGAAGAGGTATATAAATGAAAAAAAAATTAAAAACTCAATGCCTTAATGTTTTTTTGTTAAGATGTGATGTCATACCTACTTATATACAATTTATGTAGGTGAATAATTACTAGATTAGTCATATAAAATTTATAAAAATCCAAAGTTCCAGACCACATTTTCATAAATAACAAAAGAGGGTTAAAACTGGGGATTAAAGTTTTAGAATATGCTACTTGACAATACATTCCATGCAAAATTTTTCGAAAGTATATGAAAGCTATGTAGATGGTGTAAATAGGGGGAAAATAAAAGAGAAGAAAAAGTAGAGCTAAAATTGAAGTTGGTACGGCAATTGTGGTAGAAAATAGTGCAGAGTATTCATGCTCCTCATATTTGCTAATTTTGGGAAGTTTGTCTTCCATTGCAAAGACAATGAGAGATCCCTTCAGGTAAAAATCATCATTTAAAGGATTTACATTAGAACTCACACTAGAAAAGTCGCTTCTGGTATGCCTATGCCTGCTACGTTGTCCAGGAGATATTAATGCCTTAAGGCCTGTAAACCATACATCTGCTTCAGCTTTATCCTTACAAATCTATAAACATAAAAGTGAGAAGCATTAATCTCTTAATTACTATTGAAATGACCATTTAAATCTATAGTAAGAGTTGCCAACTTTTCTGACCAGATTAAGTGACCGTTCACTGTTTTTGTGAAGAAGAGAAAATGATAAAGAATCCTTTTCAGGACACAAGTATCTTCTAAAGACAGCCTGCAAAGAAACATTTTATTTTTAGAAAAAATATTTTTTGAGCGGTAAGAGAATTCTAAGTTGACACAAACTTGGACCTGATATTTAACTTACCGTTCTCTGTCCAGAGATAATATGTGAAACACCAGACAAATTCAGATTTCTTTCCCCTCTGTGAGTTATCCAAATCAATATTGTTTCATCCTGTTGGTGTCACTAAATTTTAAATCATTCTCATGAAGATATGTCATTACATATAGATCTGAAATTAAATTTTTAGTTAAACTCACCGGTGAGAGTCTGAATGGACAAAGTTTTGGCTTTCCTTTCCGACTATACTTAATTAATTGAGTGCCTTTTTTCAAAGCAATGAGTGCCTTGAAAAAGGATTGAAACAAAAGTCAAATATTAGTAGATAAAGGATATAATCAACACAATCTTTCTTGGAATATCAATAATCACAACAAATAATTATTGGAAAAAATGAGAACATGTTCAAGAAGAAAGGACAAGTTACACCCACATTATTTGTCAAGTTTCTAAACGCGGGTTTAGATATTATTTTTCTTTATACGTCCTCATCAAATAAAGTGATTTATTATCAGTCAATCGAAATTACTAAGAGAGGCACAATCTCATGCCCCTTGGATCGCTTAAGCAGATATTGATCCTGCTCCGGCTAGAACACCAGCTATTGACGCCAAGTCGAATAAAATATTCCAATTTCCATATCATAATATCTATGTACTGTAAGAGTTGGAATACCAGCTTCCCGTTTTCTACTTCCTTTAATTTCTGGTTTAAGTATTCACTTATTTGGCTTGAGAAACTTTCCCGCGTAATCAATAGTTCATATATTAATCGAGACGTGGGCGTTATGCATCGTATAAAATTTGAAAAAATGAACCATTGTTTATTTATGATTTATAAATCGGATGGTTTACAGTAATTTTTACATCTCATAATATTGATTCTTCTAAAATTCTAGAGGAGAGCGACCAACGGTCATAAGCCTATCGGTGTCGTATACAGCTGACATTTATCTGTACATGGCCAACGATGCCAAAAAATATATATATCCACCGAAACTTTATAAAGCTAATGGCATTAACTGAGCTCAGTATTTTCTCAGAAAACCTGAAAATCCAATGATCACATACGTACATATATATATATGTGTGTATGTATAAAGAAAAATAGATTCGGTTACCAAACAGATAAATTAAGCAGAAACAACTTAGGGGAAAAAAAATGAAGAAGAAAGTTCGGCAAAACTGACTTGCTCAATATTTACATTGCCAGCGAGATCTGCCATTCCATCTGAGAAATTCGCAATGAAACCGCCAAAGACTAAGCTCAAGTGTCAACAACTGCATCAGGTGGTACGGCGGCGACTTTCGCGCCCCAGTCTTCATAGATGTTTACGCTTTTCTCCTTCGGCCTCCACAAAATTTTCCAAAACCCAGAGAAAGGAAAAGATGAAGCATCTGAGATATGAAATTCCAATCCTCCGAGAAGAACAAAGTCTGGGTTCACTTACTGATGAATTGGATTTAAAAACTAAGTTTGGAAAAATTATATTTTGAAAATAATTAGCATGAATGTCTGGGATTTCTAAGCAAAAGTGAGCTATGCGGAATGTTGCAGATCCATCAGAGAGAGAAGGCGAAATGAGAGGGAAGCTTGCAGCTCAAAAGAAAGGGGACTCAGATATTGGCGCGCTCCTCATACCACATTCACGACCCCCAACTAACTAAACGTCACTGCCACGTGGCAATGGGAGCTACGGAAATTACACTAAACTCCCCTCAGATTAGCTATATTATTTCGTTCTTTTTCTTGCTTTGAATTGAAAAAGTATATTAATTTTAATTATTCTTCGTGATTCATATTAGATTTAATAGGTTTTTTTTAAATAAAAAAATGCTTGAATTAAGTAGTCATATAAAATTAAATTAGGAAGTTTCTTTTTTACTAATTGACAGAATAGATTTTGTTTGGAAGACTCAATTTATAAATTTCTATTGAATATTATGCCCCAGTGAAATGTCAGGTCGAGGCACAGACAAATTTTACAAAGAAAATCCAATGGGAAAACAATATAAGGGGGAAAAAATAAATAAAAAAAATGTGGGGAACAGTTAAAAAAGGTTAGCAGTAGGATCTTTGTATCTCTTAAAAACTTGTTCAATATCTGCCATAACTTCCGCGGGTAGGGGGCGCTGAGTTCCCGTGAAAGCATCAATGTCTTCTTTGAGTTGTTTGACTGAGGTAGCACCAATAATTGAACTGGTCACGAATACACGATCTCTTACAAACCCAAGTGCAAGCTCAACTGGAGTTAGGCCATGCTTCTTAGCCAGCTCCAAATATTGCAATGTTGCTTCCTATAATTCATAGGCATGGCCATTAGCAGCATAAATCAGAAGCCAAAAAAAAAAAAAAATGAAAGTCAAATACTTTAGATGCTTGCCATCAAGATCTTTGCAAGAGTATGACTAATGAACCCTTTTTGAAATAATCAACAGCGAAATGCTGGGTGGTTAGAAATCTCCATAGATTGCAGTCTTATTAAAAAGCTAGATAAGGCTTGCATTGAATTCCATTAAATTGGTTATTGGAAGGTAAGGCAACCTATTGCTTTCGAAGCTGCTCGCCCTAGTGACAAAGGAAGTATCCATCTTATGATAGCAAATGAAGTAGAAACTACTCATATCCAAGAATATCATTGTCAACCCATGAACAAGCAAACTGTTCCTGTCTTGATTAGACTTAAATCTAGCTGAGTATTCCACCCTCTAATTAAATTACTCAAAGCTTGAGGGGTATGACATAATTACTACACAAGTTCTCATGACCAATAAGTCCAAGAACTAATCTGTTGCTGATTACTGAGCATGTTAAAAATTGCAATTCAATCCTTTTTTGGTGTATACCATCCAAACAAGTATCAATTTCTTACACAATGCCAAAAATATAATCAAAGAAATGACTGATATAGGAGTTCTTTTTTCTGGGGAATCAAGCTGTTATAAACTTTCATTACCATTTTGGGATAAAAATCATTATTACCACTACCAGAATACCATAAACTTCAGGATATTTATCATGACCTAAAATTTGAACATACCCGCGCCACAGATTTGTTATATCTTTCCATATAACCAGGGAAGAGGTTAAATCTACCCTTTCTTGCACCTTCGGAATTTATATCAATATATTTTCCTGTCAGTGATCCACCTCCTAAAGGGGAATAGGCTAGTAAGCCTATATTGTTATTCTTTGGGTGGCAAACTTCAACAAGATCAACTGCAATTAAATCAGACAAAGAGAAAGGTATAATTAAAAAAAAAATCGTAAAAGCAAGAGACAGGCGTGGTCAAGAATGAGATTTAAGTATTTTGACTAGCAAAATCTTTTCCTTTTTTAGCCTGAAATTGGAAAATCTTGTCACGCTGTCAGAATGTCAATTTTGAACCAGTGGTTTACAAGGCTCGTTTATCTGTTTCATGGTAAGGCTACTCAACTGGAATTCCTCATAATTTTTTTTCTTTAATTCCCAGGCATGCGTTCTAAATTGAAAAGCTCCATGTTATTTTCGGTTCCATCTTGGGAATTGTACTGGTAGGCCAGATGATACAGTACATTTTATAATTGACCATTGCATTATAAGATACTTGGATTTACACCAGCTCTGGGGCCAATACAACAATCTTTCAACGAAATATTTGTACTTTATTTTTGTTGAAGCCAGAGGTGTCAAAAAATGTGATCATACAGAGAGCAGGAAAGAGGTCAATAGAGTAAATGTGACTTTACATGTACATGAGGTGGTGAAATAAACCCTTTGAAGAGCACATTATCAAGTCTTGTCACTTTCTGCTTTTGTTCTAAAGATTCAGATTCATAAAGATTGAAGGACAACACTATTTGGAAGAGAATAGATAATGAACTAGACTCTCATGGCCACATCCTCTTTTGTTTAATTATTCTTCATTGTTGCCTCTTCAATTTTGCATGACAGGTAGCATATTTCCTGGAGAAACATATTGTGTTGGTAGTTAAATAGAACCAAGCCCCTTGCCTATTTTTAACCATTACGTTTAGCAGCCTCCATAAGAATCATGTAAGTAGAGCGATTAGCATATTTAATGATGCAGAAACCAAACCAACCCTTTTTTGGGGCCTGTTCAGGAACAACTTTATATTGCTTCCTAAGGTTGTGCTCTGTTTTTTTGTGGCAAATTATGTGTTTTTTGTTGAAAGATATAGTAGTTACCCACTCGAGCCAGTCTGACAGGTGATGGCAACGAAAATGATATGTCATATGAATGACATAGGATTCATGTCAGATCAGGACTTACTTTCAAAATGACATCTGACAAGCAAACTGTAGCTATTTTGGATACTGACAATCTTTGGAAGCCCTCCTACATTAGCTGCATGGACAAACTCCATCACTCCATAAGAGGTCTCGTTTGACACACCAATGTACCGTACCTAATACATATAAAAATAATTGCTATTACAAATAACTGCCAAAAAACATGCATGACAGAATGCACATCATAATGTGATCAAAACATGATAGGGAAAAGGGAATAGAAGAGAGTATGGGAAAGAGAGAATTTGAGAAAATTAACTTAGATCATCAGTTTTATCCCAAAAACAAAAACCTTTGATCATCAGCCACAGGCTTCTGTTAGAGATAAGCCTAGATATTTCATAAAATTCCTGGCATATGAGCATGCGACTATCTTAACCAAATAGTTTAACAAGCTTATGCAAAAAGCTAACATGGAATCAGTGCATTAAGAAAAACCCTAACTGCCGCAAGATTAGAGACCCTAAAGAAAAAGAGAGTTCTGAGGTTCAAAAGTACAAGTCTTGGCAAAAGATGAAGGCCGTGGCTTGAGGCCTTGGAGACTCATAGAACACATGACCAAACAATAGAATTGGGCCCAAATGATAACTATAATTAAAAAAAGGAAAAATACAATCATTGATTCCTATAGTTTTATTAGATTTTGCTTTCAGTCTTTATAGTTTTTTTCAATTCTTATAGAGACTAAAAACACTAAAACTATAGAGACTTGAGTAACAAATTTTCAATTCTTATAGGGACTAAAAACACTAAAACTATAGAGACTTGAGTAACAAATGTCACCCAATCTTGCTAAAACCATAAGGATTGAAAATACCGAAAAAACTACAATGACTAAAAGCAAAAACTGATGAAATTATAGGGATCAATGATTATGTTTTCCCTAAAAAAAAACCCAATTAAATTTTAGGGGGAGTGTTTTAGGTAAGCCTTGATAGAAGTGGTGTATAAGCTTGTGACAATACTAACCAAATAACTTTAGTCATTTTGGTAAAATGAATACAACCAAGCACAAGCCCATATAGAAAATAAACACCTCCCAATTGTTTACGCAACTTATTTGTAACTAGGGCAGTTAGAACTAACCAACTACTAACTGCCATTAACAAATCAACTTCCTTCTACATATCTCTTCAGCCTAACATAAGTATTTCATCACAGTACAAGTGATGCTAGTAGTAAGGCTAACAAAATAGTTTAATGCACAATTTGTCTTATTTTACAAATCTGAGACAAATAACATAAAAAAGTAGACTAAAACACACGCAATGTGCCTGCGGTTGCACACACACATATACACATCTGTATGCATACACACAAACACAAACACATATACATACATTTGGCATTAAAACAAACCAACTGAAACTAAGATTCACTATAGTTCATTATTTCAGTAATAACATATTTTAAAAGAAAAATTACCCTGCTCTTCCAAATGAAAGTTAACTTTTTTCATCAAGATGCTGTTAAAAGAAAATAGAAATAGAAATCAATCACCTTTCCTTCACTAATAAGCTCTTGAAAAGCTTGCAATTGTTCCACAAATGGAATACTGGGCCTCCATTTTGAAGGGTCATAGTAAGATCCGAACAATCCCACATAGCGATCTGGCCTATAATGAAACAGAACAAAGATCAGCATACTTTCATAAGGCCATTAGCTAAAAAATTCTAATTTAGCCTTCCAAATTATAAGGCAATTTCTCTGGTGCCATCAAACACTTATTTAAGAAAATGTTTGTCGTATGTATTGTAGTCATTAACTACTAATGCTGTGATGTCGTCTATCAATCACGTTGCCATTCATTATGATGTAAATTTAAATAAGCAACAAATGCACTATCCTAATGCTGCATGTTCTAATCAACTGATCTTATTGGACGGAAAATAAAGAAACTAATGCATAAAAATTGAAAGAAAATAGCAGCCAACACAAAAAATTCATGGTCAAAAATACATAATATAGAAATACTGATAAAGAAAAAACAAGCATGACTTAAGCACTTGCTTTCTGTGTACTTACCAGTGAATTTGCAACAAATCAATATAATCAGTGCCAAGTCGCTTGAGGCTTTTCTCAACACTCTCTTTAATGTTTGAAGCATCAACCCGCAAAACTTTTGCACTGTCACGAAGATAGCTCGACCGCTCGGAATAACCACTTACTTTTGTTGCTAAAATAATCTATCCACAAGCAAGGATTGCAATAGTCTTAAACTCTAAATTATTAAGACGAGTAAAAAATCTTCCGAAAGAAAACCCAAATCCAGATCTCAATATTGAATTTGTGACGGCTTTTTGTAAAGGATTGTAACACGTGATTCATATTTTCAATAAATCATTCTATTATCTAATAATTTGCAGAACCTGTTAAAGTGAAATATATGCTGGAAAAATAATAATTACTGTTAAGAGTTACTGTCTAACCTGAAAACGAGTTGTCTCACACAGGAAGTTATCAAGTTATAATGTTTGTAAAAGGCCAGCCCATCTCAGAAAGGCACATAAAAAAATTAATAAGACAGTTGTTAGCTTTGTGCTCAATACCTTGTCACGAGATTGAGACTTCAGCCAACTACCAATATAGAGATCCGTACTTCCTTGAGTCTCTTGCTTTGCTGGAACTGGATACTACAAAACAATGTCTATTTGTTAGTTTGGCCAAAAATGGTGGATTGCAAGACGTTTACAAGTGGAAAAACTACAACAGAAACAAGTTTTTTAACCATAACTGTAACTGTCACCAGATAATCCAACATGGTTGTGTAAAGCAAACAATTCAGTTGCAATGGTGAAAATAGAGGATGCATGGGTTTTCAATTATTATTATTATTATTTTTTTATCCACAGTCAAAGTTCTAACTTTGAGAACAAGACAGCATAAAAGTCTGTCGGTCAGAAGGAGTATATAAGACAACAACGAATGATCATACTTTATCAAAACCATGAATTAGAATAGACCTAAAGGCAGGGAAAAGATCCAAATGCAGGTCAAAGTATCTAAGATGAATCCTTTCCAGATAGGTTATGCCAATGCAAATTATAGAAAAATGTAAAACAGCAAGAGGCTGAGAATGAAGCTGATGGGTTTGTGCATCTGAATTCCTAATCCCCTAAGGAATATGTGTTGTGGACCTTGACAGTGTCATTGATCTCATGATAAATTTTCTATAAAAATGTTGGTAAAGTTTGATCATATGTTCTCAAGGGTTTGGTTAGTATATCTTCCATGTTTCAACAACAACAACGACAACATCAAGTCTTATCCCACTAGGTGAAGTCAGTTATATAGATTGTAAAAGACTATTGTGTTCTATAATTTATCAAGTTTTTAAAAATATTATTAATTAAGAAGTTTCAATCAATAACTTCCAAAAGTTTCTATTTTACCTTCATCTACCCCTCTTGATAGGGCTTAAATATCTATTCCACTCTTTTCATAGGTACCTCCCATAGTCTTCTTTGTACATGTTCAAACCATCTTAAATGATTTTCTACTATTTTTCCTTTAATAGGTATGATGGCCACTTTTTTCAATATACACTCATTTTGAATTTTATCTTTATGTATATGTCTGCACATCCATATCAATATTCTCATCTTTGCTACTCCAACTTTATATTCTTGCTATCTCGTTATAACCCAACATTCATTACCATATAATATTACTAATCTTATAGCAGCTCGATAAAACTTCTCTTTAATTTTATTAAGTACCTTAGGATTGCAAATAACTCCTTTAGCCTTCCTCCAATTTAACCACCAACTTGTATCGTATGTGCAATATCTCCATCAATTTTCTCATTATGTTAAATAATAGCTTTCAATTATCTAAACGTTTTCACTTGAGGTATAATCTAATAACCTAATTTCACTTTCAAATTACTACTTTCTGACCTCTTATCAAAATTACAATATAAATATTTCGCCGTACCCTACTCAAGCGGAAATCTTTTAGCTCCAATGTTCTACTCCATAACTCAAGTTTATAGTTAATCTCCTCTCTTGTCTCTGCAATAAAAATCATATCATCTACACAAAGCATGCATTTGGAGTTTTTCCATTGAATATGCTTATCAAAATATTTAAGATAAGTTAAACAAATAAGAAATCAAAGATGATCCCTCATACATTACAATCCTTATAGGAAAGTCTTTTGTTTCGCTGCCAAATATTCTTATACTAGTTGTTGCCTCCTTATACATATTTTATATAACTCAAATATAGGCAACCTGGACACCCTTCTTTTCCAATGCTTTCCAAAGCACTTCTCTCAGTGTGTGATCATAAAGTTTTTTTCAAATCAATGAAAATCACATGTAAATTTTTACCTTTGCATTGACATTTTTCTATTAATTTTCTTAATAGATAAATTGCTTTTGTAGTTGCTCTACTTGGCATGAAGCCAAATTAATTCTTAGAAATTTTAATTTTCAATCTTAACTCATGCTTAATCACTCTTTCTCACAATTTCATGATATGACTCATAAATTTAATCCCTCTGTAGTTAGCACAATTTTGAATATCCTTTTTATATTTGTAAATAGGAATTAAGTTGCTTCTCCTTCAATCGTCAGGCATTTTCTTCGATTGTAAAATCCTATTAAATAACTTTGCTAACCATCGTACTCCCTTCTTCACCTAAACATTTTCACACTTCAATAAGGATGCAATCAGGTCCATTGACTCTACCATTTGCCATTTTCTTAAAATTTTCCTTTACCTCACAATCGCGTGTCTTTCAATAGAATGACAAATTTTATTCTCCATCAAGCGTTAGTAAATCCTCCAAGTTGTTTTATAAACCCTCTCCATCATTGAAAAATTTTAAAAAGTAGGTCCCACATCTGTCTTTAATATTACCACCTGTGACCAAAATATTTCCTTCATCGTCTTTTATACACCTTACTTGTTCCAAATTTTTCAATTTTCTTTCCTTACTCTTGACAATCTTATAAATTTTTCATTATCTATTCTTTGTCCCAAGATCATTATAAAACCCTTTAAATGCTTTAGAATGAGCTTCCTGCACTGCCTTCTTAATTTCCTTTTTAGCTATATAATACCTTTCTCAATTTTCATTATTATTTCACAAATGAATAGTTTTAAAACACTCTTTCTTGTATTTGATTTTTTCCCGTACACTATTATTCCACCACCACGACTGCTTATCTCTTAGACCAAAACTTTTTTATTCTCCCAAAACTTTTTTTATAACCTTCCTTACCTTCCTAGCCATATCCTCCTCCAAGATGCTAACACTTCTTCGAAACTCCCAAATTCCTTCGACCGAAAGATTCCGCTTGAAAATTTCTCACTTCTCATCTTTTATTTGCCATCACCTAATCCTTGAAGTTACCATTTGTCAATGCTTTTGGTATTTACTCATAATACGTATATCAAGGATAAGGACCTTATGTTGTGTCGTTACAACATTTTCAAGAATCACCATACAATTTTTACAAAGTTTTCTATCCATGTTCCTTGCAAAAAAGAAATCAATCTATAACCTTGAGGCTCCGTTTTTATAACCAATAAGATGCTTATCCTTCTTCTTGAAACAAGTGTTGACAATCTTCAAAATCATACACCAAAGAGAAATCAAGAATAGATTGTCCTTCATTGTTTAGCTTCCCAAAACTAAAACCATCATGTACTCTAGCATAATGACCTCCCTCCCTCCTGACATGACCATTAAAGTCTCCTCCAATAAAGATCTTTTCATTCTGTGATATATGTTGAATGAACCCCTCTAAATCTTCCCAAAATAATTCCTTAAGACTGATTTTTACCCTAGCTTGAAGTGTATAAGTGCTAACAATATTGACAATCTCACGTCCAACAATCATTTTTAAAGAAATAATTTTGTTTTCAATTCTGATAATTTCTATCACGTTCTTCTTTCACTCCTTATCAACAATGATTACGTGTGCTTACTTTTTCAATATACCAAAATTTAAAACTTTGAATATCCTTAGCTTGTTCACTAGGCCATTTAGTTTCTTGCAGGCACAAGATATTAATTTTTCTTTGAATCATAACTCCTACCACCTCCATAGATTTACAATCAACATCCCAACATTCCAAATAACAAATCTAATTTTTCTCATATAGACTAACTTCTTTAACCGCACTGGTCTAGAGTGACGTGGTAGCCTTTGCTTGTTTAACACTACATCCAAGTTCCACTACGGTGGCTCTAACTCACTTGTCACTGCATTCAAGCCATGCAACACATTACTTATGAGCAATGACATAGCATTGGCACAAAAATCTCTACTGTCCATATCCCAAAAAAGTACAATTAATTATGAGCAATGTGAGATTTAACAAAGTTTTATGTTAACTGTTGAATGCCTGACACAACCCTCCTCTTTTATCCGGCTTGGGACCTGCTATATAACATAGGCGAATCTTCCATGTTTGATTCAATTAAAATATCTAAATATAATATGTAGAAAACAACTAAAAGATGAGAAAATATCTTTAAAAAGTACAACGACTTGAGCACAATCTTGGACTCCAATTGAATACAGACGTGTTTTTTTGTGCCGGTGCAAGAACAGATGGAGTAAATGGATATCAAGATTCGAAGAACATACAATTTCAGCAGTATCTAGAGCATTAATTCCATGTTCAAATGCATAACTAAGCATATCATGAGCTTCTTTCTCTGTATTCTGTTCCCCAAATGTCATCTGAAATGTTACATGAGTCAACCATCAACAAATAGACAAGATACCACAAACTATACTGACATCAAACTGATTGCAGGAAAACAGGGGATATGCAAGTTGAAATGCAAAAGGTACTCATATATTACGTGAAAGCAGTCAGAAGCATGGGAGTAGCAGGAGAAAATTAAGAGGGTTGTCTTGGTATGCGAGCCTCACCAAGACGTAGAAATTAAATTAAGAGACTTGTTCAGGGCTGACAACTTCACATCCTTTAAAAAAGAAATTGGGTATTCGAATTCTAACAAGCTTAACCATTTTTTAGAGTTTCTTTTGTCGACATAACCATCAAGGAGTGATGCAGACCCATGTATCTGTGTATGTTCTCAACCAAATAAGAGAAGCATACTCAATGGCAAAAGATATATCATGAAAGACTGAAAGTTTCCGAGCTATAGCATTTGACATTTCTTGAACCAAAAGAATATTCAGCCTTTTCTTTTTCATAGGACAGTAACGCAGGAAAGCATTCTATTACACACAGATTTTGCTCCAAAAGTCAAGTCAAGCAGAAAATGAAACATGAATTTAAGACACCTCGGCAGTGCAGCCCGTTAAGTCGCTATTACCCAGAAGGAACTGTGGAATTTCATGGTAAAGAGCAAAATGAAGCTTTCCCGTCGCTATTCTACTAATTCTGTTCTATGAAAAGTAGTCATACCCACTTGGGGAAAAAAATCAACAATACTTACAGTACCGAGAGTGATTTCACTGATGTTAAGGTCAGAGTCGCCAAGCTTCCTGTACTGCAGTGCATTCTTCTGGCCGAGCGTGGCACGGACAACGGTGTTTGAAGTGGACTTTCGAAACCTCGAAATTCTAGCCTTTAGGGGCCACGGTAATTTCACACGGTGACAAGGGGCAGGAACTTTCTGGCAAGAAGAAGTAGGAATTACAGAGAAGGGCGACGACGCAGCCATGGAAGAGGTTATCCTAGCTCGGCCTTATCGTCCGTCCCCCAGCGATGAACTCTGAACACAATACGTGCCAGGCTTACTCCCTCGTCTCTGGAACATGCGCGTTAATGCGCTTTACAAAAGTGTCAAAGGCTGATATGAGAGCTAAGAGCTACTGATGGTTTAGATTTAATTTAAAATGTTCAAATTTTTATTCCTTCAATTTCAAAATATAAAATATTTTTTAAAAGATTAAATATATTTTTTTCGTTTAAAGATATATTTAATCAAATTTAATTATTTAATAAAGTAATTACTTACTTTTCAATTAACTCTTTCTTTTTATATTTATCCTTATTAAATATTCTATAATAAATATAAAGTCATCATCAATAAGGATATTTTTGAAAAAAAGATAATAATTACATCTTAACGAACTAAAAATGCGTTATATTTTTTAACATTTAACTCATCAAAAAATGCTTTACATTTTTAAACAAAGAGAGTATATTTTTAATATTTTTAGATGTAATCATTATTTTTTAAAAAAGGTACATCTATGAATAAATCACTTTATATTTATTTTAAATTAAAATACTAAATTAAATAGAGGTAAATATAGAAAGATAATGTTAGTTTGAAGATAAGCAACTACTTTATTAAATAGTAAAATTTAATTAAAAATATCTTACATTTTTTAATGAAGGAAGTAATTTTTTGTTTTTTAAAAAATTATTTTAATAAATATAGAATTTAAAATGTGTGACAATTTTTTAATAGTCAGTTTTTTTAAAAAATAATTTTTTATTTAAAAAGAACTTATATTAGAAAAATATAAATGAGTAAATTAGCTCAATAACATCAAAAAATACAATCATCATAAATTATAAATAAACTTTTTGAATATTTTAAAATATGACCCATTTATAAAATCAATTAAATATGATTTTTCTTTTTTATCCTCAAAATAAATATATTACTAAAATACAATGTATCTCTTGTAACTAATATTTAATCGAATGAATTGTGCTTCACAATCATTATTTCATTGTAAAGGAGGAAAGTCTCATGTGTCAATGCTTTTTTTCTCTTTTTCTCTCTATTTTTTCCAATATATTATGAAGCTGAGGTTTGACATTGAAGACTAAACTTCGTCGTTATATTCTACATTTTACATTGTGTAATTCAAGATCCGAATTGAAGTTGTCTTCTATTTTGTTTTTTGAAAGTTGAAGAATATTATCTATCATCGAATTTTTATTTTTTCATTTATCTAGGAAATAGTTTTACTGAATCAATAAATCATTTGTTCATAATCTGTTATTTGTTGTCATTGATCATGAAGTTTGTTTGAATTACTAATAGAAAACATATTAGTCTCTCATTATTCATGATTTTTTATTTTAATATTTTAGGTATTTAATTTTTTATGATAAGTTAAGGTGTTTAAAATTTTTTACGAATCTAGTTTGATCTATCTTAGGCAAATAATTATATTGTTTTCATTTTTTTTTCATGACAGTATATTAATGATATATTTTTGCAAATCGATATAATCAGATAATCAAATATAAACTTATTTATTATTGATATACAATCGTATATAAATGATGTAATACTATCACACATCAGTAACACAAAAAATGTATAATTATTTTTTCAAAACGAATCAAACACAGTCTACAACAAATTCTATAACTTTGTTTCCTCGCCAAAATTCTCCATTCCATCGAGTACCATTGATATCTCATCTCGCATTTGTCTCTTTGTCATGACTGTAGCTCACTCACATTGCTCTTCTTTCTTCTGTCTTTGAGTTTGATCTACTTGTTTCTTTCGTCGTGACTATAACTCACGTTTATCTCTCTCGTTCGCCTGATTTCTCAAATTTTGAGTTTGTTCTAGTATTTGCAAAATGCAGAGTGTTATAATTTTAAAAGGACAGTTTTGTAAATTATATATCAACTAAATATTAAAAAAGTCATTTTAAAAATTTTAAAAAGAATGAACTATTTTTTTTATTTGATCTTATGATATGGGCTATATGTGTAAAAATCTCAATATAAATTTGGACTATAAAAATTAAATTTAGATAGTCTAAAAATTATGAGCTTTTAGTGCTCATTTATATAATAATAAGTTATAAATGAGCATTGAAACTACTTCCAAGTACAACACCATACAAACTATAAATACATGTGGCCTTTTCTTCTTTAAAAAAACTATAAATGTGAAAGCTAACTAGAAATTTTATACGTGATTATTTAATTGGATTATATTTAATTATTATGGGCTCAATTAAAAATAGAATTTTAAAAAATGTCATAGTCTCTTTCACTAAAATTAATAACTATTAATGCTAAATAGAATTCTCTTGCAACAAAAAGGAGTATTCTTTTGTAGATAGGATTTGGAAAAATGATAATAAAATTATTCTGAAACATGTAAATGGCAATTTGGTACCTCAAAATATTATAATTTTTCTGAAGTCTTTAGAGACTTTTCTGTCATTAATAAATTTGTATAAATTATCAAATTATTCTTGTTAAAAATAAATAATTTACAAGTTTTACTTAAACATTCATAACTTTCTTTCTTATATTTGCAACAAAGCAACAATAAATAAGGAATTAACATGCAAAGTTGTGATTTGCTATTGTATTGTTATGAATATAAGAAGAAAAGTTATGAATATTTGAACAAAATTTTTGAATCATTTATTTTCAATATGGACAATTTGATAATTTTTATAAATTCATTAATGATAGAAAAATTCTTAGAGACTTCAAGGGAATTATTGCATTTTGAGAAATTAAATTATCATTTATACATTTTAGAGAGATTTTATTGTTATTTTCACATACGACTTTTTTGGTTTAAGGCCAAAACTTTTGTATACAATTTGGTCTCTCAAAATAACATAATTTCCTTGAAACCCCTAGAGACTTTTCTATCATTAATGAATTTATATAAATTATCAAATTACCCTTGTTAAAAATAAATGATTTACAGGTTTTATTTAAACATTCACAACTTGCCTTCTTATATTCACAACAATGCAAAAGCAAATAAAGAATTAAGATGTGAAGTTGTGATTTGCTATTGCATTGTTGTGAATATAAGAAAGAAAGTTGTAAATATTTAAATAAAACTTGTGAATTATTTATTTTCAACAAGGACAATTTGATAATTTATATAAATTCATTAATGATAAAAAAATTTCCAGGGGCTTCAAAAAAATTATTATATTTGAGGGATTGAATTATTTTTTATACATTTTAAAATAATTTTATTGTCATTTCTGCACAGGACTTTTTAGGATTAAGGCCAAACCTTTTGTATACAATTTCATTAATAGTCTGGCCAAGTATTATGATTTTTCCCTCCATATAGATCTGCATTGAGAATATCATACTTAAATAGTTAAATTAAAAAAAACTAGAGCCAATGCAAACCTATTTATATTCTGTATTGGGCCTTAACTCTAAACAAATGTCGCATGGTTTATCAATAAGACCATAACACATGAAGTAATATATTGTCCAACACCCTTAAAGGTTATTTGGTTGAAGGGGAGAGAAGGAGAGGAATTTTGCCTCCATTCCCTTATTTGGTTTGAAGAAATTTTTCCTCTCCTTCCCTCCAAATTGAGAGGATTGGAAGGGGGTAAAATTTTTCATATCCTAATTAATATGCCCTCTATGATAAATTTAAAAAATGCATATGTACTTTTTCAATATCTCAACACTAATAAAATAAAAATACAATTATTTATATATAATCATTTTTCCTCTTCTCTCCTCTAAAATTAGACAAGGTAATATCAAACATCTTCCGTCTTCTACATTAAAACCCCGACCCTCCCTGCAAACCAAACTCACCCTTAAGGTTTTTCGGTTTGAAGAGGGGAGAGAGGAAGAAAGGGATTTTAATAACGAGAAAGGGAGATAAGAAATTTTAATGGAGAGGGGTGACATCTTATTTGGTTTAGGAGGGGAGGGAAGGGAAGATAATATATATATATATATATATATATAACTTTATTGTTATCTTATTAAAATTGCTTTTTTCTAATAAAATATAGTTATGAATGTTTTTGATATAAAATTATAAATATATAGTTATCCATAGTTCACACACACATATATATTTATACATATTGTCAATAATATATTCAATAATAATTTATTCAAAGTTTATAAAATAAAGGTACAAGTAAGCAGTAAGTTTATTAACATATAATGGAAGAATAGTGAAAATAAAATGAAAGGAGGGGAAACCCCCAAAAAAGTATGATATTCCTCAGCTCAAGTCTATGACTCTCAAATGGTCTTAACAGTGGTAGCCTCATTTGCACCAGGAAAGGGAAAAGCCTTAGCAGCTTCGAACAATGGCTTGAATGGAAAAATCTAATCTCCAACACAAATGATGACCTAAACAGAGGGAGCAACAATGGCGATGCAAGCTAGGAGGAAAGACATAATTTGAATAGAAGGACACATAACAGCAAAGACAAACAAATATTTTTGTTATAATGTAAATATATTAATCCCAACATAATAAAATCATACTCTTCCCCACCTCATCCTCTCGTCCTCCCATTTTGCAGGAGAGGGTTCGGAGGGGAACGGAGCCCTCCCTTTCAATTTTACAATCCAAAACATAAGGAAGGCAGTAAAATCCCTCCCATTCTGTCCCCTTTTTTAAATTAAATACATCCTTAAAAAAGTGAAGATGACTTCCTCCATTTTAAAAGGGGGTTTTAGTGGTGAAAATATTATTTTATTATTTTTTTTGTCTCAACTCTTATTTCTCACAACTCCAAGTTTAGTTGAATACTTGAATATATACTTCTACTCCTAACGTTATAAGCGGCAAAGACTCATCAGTTCTCCCGTGGAATGGTGTCCCTTATACATTAAAATGAAGAATGGCCATCAGCGATAAACTGTGATGTTTTATAGGGAATCACATCACAGCGAAACAGAACAATTGCAAACATTCCAAAACATTCTTTCAGCTAACTTACTCACTTTTCAGAGAAACTGCCACGTCTGCAAACAAAGGCAGCATGAACATATGTGTGTATGAGCTCATTAAGCATTTGACGAATAAGCAACACAAACCTCAGCAACCAGCTATTCTCGTCATTCTATCACATTCCAAGACACAAACCCACTTCTCCACTCGTATAAATTCATCCTTACAGTTATTGTTGGTCCACCTCCACTTTAGCAACATTCGACCTTGTCTCCTTCTTCCCTTCTGGTATAGCCTATCCTTCGTTGGCCCCTTCGCTAATCCTTGCTTATGTTGTTCTTTTCCATGTCGCCTTCGCTCCGTTATAAAGGAACATCGGTTTTTTGTATAATCGATGTTAAAAGGCCATGTTAATTTTCACTTTTTACAGTAATGCAAATTATAAGAAAATGTAATATACATGCACACATATACATACACAAGTATACGTACAATAATACATACCGAATTTTTGCCCATCTTTGAAACCATCATTGTATTAAAAAAATTAAAATTAATAAATAAGGGTAAAACAGGAAAAATGTTAATAAATGTTCTTTGGATTTTCACAAAGATTTGTAAAATAAAACAAAAAAAATTTTGTATCATCATTTAATTGGCCTATCTCACCAATGCAGATATGCTTATTGTTTGAATTTCTTCCATTAATATTGCCCATATCTTCCTTTGATAAGTTGGCATTGCAGTTAAAAAGAAATAGATAAACTTGATTCCAGTGATCGAAGGGATATATTTATTTCTCTCCCAGTAAATGAATTGTAAAGTTAAGAAAGAATTATTCGGATTGGAATAAAATCCAATACCATTTTATAAGTTTTCATTAATTCTGAATGAAATTATTATTTTTTATTTGGGGGGGGGGAATTCTGAATGAAATTCAACTTTTCAATGTCCGTGGGAAAAATAGACTGAACTGGGAACGATATTACTATCTTCAATGCATGATTATCTTGTGCAAAAAAAAAAAAGCAAGATTATCATAGTTAAAGCATAAGACAATATATTATATATGTGAAATAAAACAGACCCTCTCGATCCAAGTATTTCTAATTATTAAATAATTCTAGAATATAGGACAATTATATTATTTGAATGTGGACTTTAAAATTAAATACTAATAAGTATTCTGAGTAAAAATTATCCATTCTGCTAAAGGATCAAGTCCCAAAACTAACTTATTTTATATAGAAATTAATTAGTACAGAACTTCTTTTTTTTTAGTTTTTGGCCAAAGCACAGAACTTTTATTCAATTAATTATTATACTAATTAATTAATATGTACCAAAGAATGGTATGATTTTGGAAAAAGTAATCATATTTAATTGAATAATATTATACTTTTTTCATTAAAAAATATAAAGTATTGTTAACCAAATCTCACCCCAATAAAGTAGTTAACTACTTTTAAACTAACCATATCTTTTCATATTTATTTTTATTAAATATTTTATAATAAATATAAAGTCACTATCAATAAGGTATTTTAAAAAATGATTATTTTTTGAAAAACTAAAAATATTTTATATTTTTAATCATCTAACTCCTTAAAAAATACTTTATAATTTTGAATCGGGAGAGTATTAGTTTATAAAACCATTTAGAATATATGACTTATTTCACATGTTCATAAAGACTTGTTCTAATTCAAAGATGAAAATAACAGGTCAGCAGTTTTGGTGTCGATTCCCCTGACCATGAATGTCCAAACTCATCATACCATCTTCTCCCATTAATACATTCGTCAGATTCTCTAACACCCTGGAAGGGAGAAGCTTCCAAAACGCAAACTTAAAACTTCAACCTCCATCATTATAGCATGCATGGCAGATAAATGCCACATATACAGCAGAATAAAACCATGTGTTTGCGAACTAGCAGTATCGCAGCCATGCAGCTAATAAGAACCCTACAAAGACCTCACAACACTCGAATAATGCCTCAAGGGTCAAGTCCCGAAACCATAACAATTCTTACCTACCCAACAGATGCTCAGGTAGATAATTTTGCTTGCAGATTCAACATTGATTTCTGAAATTTAGAGGGTGTCGGGATTAAAGACTCTCATCATTGCAAATTTGCTATAGTACACGTATCAATAAATACTGGTCAGGTGGCAGCGGTCCTCAATCATTCTCTTGTGCCAAATTTACGCACTTTTTAAAGAAACTGCCACGTCTGCAATCAGAAGCAGCACGTATATGTGTGCGTGTGTGAGCTCACTAAGAATTTGCAGCCATGCGACGAATAAGCAACACAAACCTCAGCAACCAGCAATTCTCGTCATTCTATCACATTCCAAGACACAATCCCACTTTTGCACACGTATAAATTCATCCTTACAGTTATTGTTGGTCCACCTCCACTTCAGCAACATTCGACCTTGCCTCCTTCTTCCCTCCCTTCTGGTATGGCCTATACTTCGCTGGTTTCGCTAATCCTTGCTTATGTTGTTCTTTTCCATGGCGGCCTCGCTTACCCTACCGAGTGTGACTTTGAGAACCTGACCACACTCGAACCCACCAAGCAAGTCGAGTCCGAAGGGGGTGTGACTGAGTATTGGGACTCCAACAATAGGCAGTTTCAATGTGTTGGCGTGGCTGCCCTTCGCTATACCATCAAACCCAAAGGCTTATTGTTGCCTCTCTACATCAACGCCCCAAGGGTCCAGTACGTACTCCAAGGCATGTATTCTCCATTTCCTTTTCACTTTTTAAGAATTTTACGATCAAAATTCTGTAACTTATTACAGAAAAAGATGATGAACCCTATTTTTGCGTGACCATGTGTCCTATGGAATATTGCAGGAACGGGTATCTTGGAAACAGTGATATCAGGTTGTCGTCAAACGTTTCGAGAAGAATCATCTGAAGGAGACATGCACCAGAAGATCCATGTTACAAGAGAGGGTGATGTTATCGTCGTACCAGCTGGTGCTGCTCAGTGGATTTACAACACTGGAGAAACTGATCTGGTTCTCTTTTCACTCATAGACTCCGCCAACGGGGACAACCAGTTGGACCTCAAAGTCAGGGTAAGCTCTTATATTGTATCTACGCACTAACCAAAAACACTAGCAAAATCCGGAAAGTTCATTTCCACAAGTCCCTTTGTAGCTGATATTCTTCATCCATCCACAGAAATTCTTCCTCGCCGGAAACCCAAAAGAGGAACCCAAAGGTATGGGAGAAGGCCATGGAACCAATGTGTTCAGTGGGATGGCACACGAGATGGTGGAAGAGTCACTCGACGTTAATGATGAAATAGCGACGAAGGTGCAGGGTCTGGATGATCCAAGAGGCTCCATCGTCACAGTTAAAGTGGGGCTTGACATATTAAGCCCAGTTCAAGAAGAAGAACAACAACAGCGAGAACGAGGAGAAGGGAGACAGAAACTTCGAGGTGTTGAGAGAGCGAATGGGTTAGAGGAAAATATATGTACTCTGAGACTCGTTCACCAACTAGCTGAAGCCACAGATGCAGATAAATACAATCCACGAGCTGGTTACTTGACTGGCCTTAACACTCCCAACCTTCCTGTACTTAAATACGTCCGACTTGGCGTTGATCGAGGCGTCCTCTATAAGGTAACATCCTCCAACAACCATATCTGATATGTACAAGACATTTATAGCTTGCTGACTGGAGGTGCACCCGCACGATCTTTTGGCTAATGACTCGCAGAACGCGATGATGGTGCCACACCACAACTTGAACTGTCACTCGGTGATATACGGGACAGAGGGTAGCAGCTGGATTCAGGTGGTGGCGGAGAACGGCGTGAAAGTGTTCGACGGCGAGGTGAGGAAGGGGCAGATTCTGATAGTGCCACAGCACTTTGTGGTGGTGAAGAAGGCAGGAGGTGAAGGGTTTGGTTGGATAGCAGTGAAAACAAATGACAACCCAATGATGAACGCTCTTGCAGGAGAGCTGTCGCTGATCAGGAGCATGCCAGAAGCTGTGTTGATGCACTCTTATCTTCTTAGCAGAGAGCAAGTGAAAGAGTTGAAGAAGAGAAGGGAACTCACTCTGTTAAGCCCAAGGGTGGAGCCAGAAGCGAGTTTATATTACTGAACCTTAAGTTTGATTTAGTGTTAAAGTTTGCATGTGAGGAATAAGGCATTAAAGTCCTAGCTAGCTAGCTGGATATGTCGCTAATGGAATCTAAGCTGCTTGTTTAGTTTGTCGCTGCTGATAGCAGCTTTTTGCATATTGTATATATATTGTAAGAATGTACGCAGAAGTTGGATTCAGTTAATGAGTGTTCTAGTGATTACTTGCTAGAGAGGCTGGATTTTAAGCCCGATAAAGGTATCTGCTGCTTAGCTTCAGAGTTGTGAACCTTTGCGTTTATTCAATATTTTCTCAATTTCTCGTTCACCTGTATTTGAAGTGACAACATCATTGGACAACCGCTGTAGCAAAATATAGTTTTTAAACCCACATATTTAAATCGATTAATACTCCAACGGTTTGGAAATGAGGGGTGATGTCATTCTCATAAATAACAATGAAGATGAGATTGTTTATAGACTGGTTATAAAAGGAATCGGTTTAGAATTTAATATGTAAATCAATTATAAATTATAACTTGTTTAGATATTTATATTTATATTTTAATATTTTTTATTTTGTACAGGTATCTTAAGAGGGATAACCAGTTTAAATAATAATTTATAATTTTTAAAAATAATTATTTTAATATATCTAAATTGACTATTCTTTGTGACCGGTTTAGATATGTTTTTTTTTTTAAAATATCTATTAGTTCTTGTTCTCATTGTTGAAGGTGTTGAAACTATACCTCATTCATCCCCCCTGCTCTAAACAATCCAGAATCACCCCCAAGCACCTTTAATCAGTCATTACCACTTGAAATTAGTTCTTCTCCTTGTTCTCTATTAGTGTTTGAACCAAGAGTTAGTTCTCGTCGTCGTGTTCTTCATCTTCTTCCTCCATTCTTTGTTTTTGAGCTCGATTGAAATGAGAAGCTTGAAACCTGAAATCAAATCCTCGTGCTCATGTGATTCATGCGCCCTAGCTTGCCGAAGCATTTTTTTTTATTTTCGCTTTTTAATTTTTTAATTTTGCAAAAATGTGTTATGTGGATTTTACCTACTGATCCTTCTTCATTGTCAGAGCTATCGAACCTCCTTCCTCCTCCCTCATTTCGTCTGTTCGTGGGTGGTGAAGCACAAAAGAGCTCAGTTGTTATTTTTGGAGGTTCAATTCTGAGTTTCTTCCCATGTTTAATGCCACAAGCTTCCTCTCCTTCCTTTCTGCTATTGTGATTTGAGGTGAGGAATTTTGAACTCTCTTTTCATTATGCTAAGATGATGATGGTTTTCTTGTGCTGTCATGGATGCTAAGTTTGAAAGGGAACTTGATTTAAGTTGAAACTTTTGGTATAAAGAACAAGAGTGATGCACGCAAAAACCAATGGATACCACAAGTGTATAGGTCATAAATGTAGATAATGACAAATCAAAATCAATCCCATTGAGAATTAAGTAAAGCAACAAATAGGCATTAGATTTTCAATTTCATTCAAGTTAAGCAAGCAACTTATAATGGTAAATGGTTCAATAAAAACAAGAAAAATGTATAATAAGAAACTAAGATTTGAAGAATTCTAAAATCAAAAAAATAATTAGGAAAGCACCATAGATTTTTAACCCCTCATTTGCTCTATTGCACTTATCTTACTAATTTAAATGATTTTAATTTTAGTTTTAAAGGTTGGAACACTAAAATTAATTTTGAATATCTTTTGAATAACTAAAATCCTCCTTAATTTCAACCCAACAATTCCATGTCAAAATTAAATTAAGAGCACTAAGTACAAATTCATTCTAATCACTTAGATTCTTTAGGTACATTTCAACCCTAGAGGCAAATTAATTATAATTAACCCTAAGCATTCAATTCTAATGGTCCAAATAGAAATTTCTTTCTCAAGTACATTCTATTCCTCCAAATAATCACTTAATGGTGGCCAATTATCAAGAAACACAAAACTAAACTAGAATTAAAACATAAAACATAATGATCACAAAATAATCAGTAAATCAAGATACAACTAGAGCAAATAAGTTTATAGGACTCTCAAGTATCAAAGTGAAGGAAAGAGCTGATCATAATGGGTCAAAATCATATACATAGGAGAATGAAAGAGAAGACTGAAGGAAAACTCAATGAAAATGAATATGCTGATAAGTAATCTTGCTCCCAAGCTTCAGAATCGCCCAAGCTCTCTAAAATCGCCTTCGAAGTTTCAAAGAACGTAAAAAATGAAGCCTCTCTTGAAAAACCCTACTTTCCCTCTTGTATTAGACAAAAAAATTGAAACCGTGCATCCTGATCACTACCACGGAGAAGGACATACTTGACGCCTCATAGTTGACGTTTATTTGACAAAAACAATAAATAAATGGAGAATAATTGACAGTTATTCGTAAACAACCGTCAAATATATTAACTCATACTTGAAGGTTATTTACTAGTAATTTTTATAAATTGACTATCTAGATGTACTCTAGACAAAACAAATCCAATTTTAAATTTTTTATTTTAATAAATATAAAATAAAAATAAAAATTTTAAATCCAGACCTTGCAAATAAAAATTTAATATTGAATCTGAATTGTCCATAATACATCAAGATAGTAAATTCATAAAAATTATAAAATTAAATTAAATCAGTACTATTTTAGATTGATGATGAATATAGTTATAAAAAAAATTATAAATTTTTATTTTTATAAAATTAAAATTGAAAAAACTGGGTTCGGATTTTCTCCTGGGTGCTGAGCACCGAAGACGGATCCGTGATTGAAGGGATATATTTATTTCTCCCCCAGTGAGTGAATTGTAAAGTTAAAAAGGAATGATTCGGATTGGAATAAAATTCAATACCATTTTTTAAGTTTTCATTTATTCTGAATGAAATTCTTTTTTCTTTTTTTTTTTGGGAGGGAGGGGGCCCAGATTCTGAATGAAATTCAACGTTTCAATATCCGGGGAAAAATTAGACTGAATTGCGAACGATATTACTATCTTCAATGCACGATTATCTTTGTTAAAGCATCAGACAGTATATTATATATGTGAAATAAAACAAAGCCTCTCGATCGGAATATTTCTAGTCATTAAATATTCTAGAATATAGAACAATTATATTATTTGAATGTGGACTTTAAAATTAAATAATAAGTATTCTGAGTAAAAATTATCCATTCTGCTAAAGGATCAAGTCCCAAAACTAACTTATTTTATATAGAAATTAATTAGCACATAACTTTTTTTTTTCCAGTTTTTGGCAAAAGCACAGAACTTTTATTCAATTAATTATTATACTAATTAATTAATATGTACAAAAGAATGGTATGATTTTGGAAAAAGTAATCATATTTAATTGAATAATATTATATTAGTTTATAAAACCGTTTAGAATATATGACTTATTTTATATGTTCATAAAGACTTGTTCTAATTCAAAGATGAAAATAACAGGTCAGCAGTTTTGGTATCGATTCCCCTGAACCATGAATGTCCAAACTCATCATACCATCTTCTCCCATTAATACATTCGTCAGATTCTCCAACACTCTGGAAGGGAGAAGCTTCCAAAACGCAAACTTAAAACTTCAACCTCCATCATTATAGCATGCATGGCAGATAAATGCCACATATACAGCAGAATAAAACCATGTGTTTGCGACCTAGCAGTATCGCAGCCATGCAGCTAATAAGCACCCTACAAAGACCTCACAACACTCGAATAACGCCTCAAGAGTCAAGTCCCGAAACCATAATAATTCTTACCTACCCGGCAGATGCTCAGCGATGCCCACGAAAATTATGAGATACTGTAAATGTGTGGGTGGCAATTGAAGCTAGTAATAAATTAAAATTAATTTTTTAAAAAATTAATTAAAATGATAATTAGATATTAAATTTTTAAATTTATTTACGTTAACAATTAAAATAAAAATATTAAAAATAATTAATTAAAATAATTTTTAATCCACAAACAAGCTAAAGTCAATTAAGAGAAGAATGTTCTAGAGTCCTAATTATCTATTTGCTTCCTAACCCTCTTATTACCACTCTAATTGTCTTGAAACTCAATTTTGATAATATAAAAATCTAACTTAATCCAAAGTATCTTTCAATTATTAAGGACACTAATTAATTCAATTAATGCAAAATATTACCTTAATTAATTAATTAATTGGATTAGAGACCCTAACTCATGAGGATTACCTGGGTCCATTAGATACATTCCTGTTCTAATAGCAAATTAGCTAAACAAATCCTAAGCAACTAATTCTCAAGGTTTAATTTGAGTTTTCTCTTCCAAGGTTTAATCCAAATGTTCAAATCTCACCTCGTGATATCTAAACACTAAACAAGAACAAGTAATCAAAACTTTATTTTTAACAACTAAATAGTAAATTAAAGATTATTTAAACAAATAGGTTCATAGTCTTCTAGAACAAGAAGATTTGGCTACACATAGCTGATATAAAAACTGTAACAACAAAGAAAAGGTTTGAATCCATCAACATAAAGAAAAAGAAGAAGAGAAAACACTGATAAAATGAGATAGAATGAATACTTGCTCCACTTCTTCTTGATCCCAAACTTCAAGACTCTTCCTCTTACTCTTCTAGGGTTTTCTCCAGTTGCAATAGCTAAAAGATCCATTATCCAATCCAAAAAAATGAGTTGTATCAGGTAATTTCACACAAAAAAAGAAACTACATTTTTGTCTAGTGCCATGGCACTCCTTTTGTGGTGCCATGACACCAATGGACAATTCTGAAGAAATATCTAACAGTGTGTAGGAACTTCTACCTTTGTTTCTTGAAATTAGAACTACCTTTTTCTTGTCTTCTTTATCTTTCTTGTTTTAATGTTGTCATGCCCCACTTGTCCATAATTAATAAATGAGTAGAATATATGCTTACTTCAATTTCCATCATTTTAAACAATTTCTTAAGAAAATATTACAATCAATCCACATGAGGCACTTAGTTAATTTCTTTTATAAAAACAAGAAAATATTTATCTTTTTCATGGATGACTTCCAAAATATAATCAAAAGCATGTTAATTATAACACAAAATAGAAAGTCATCACTTAAGTAGATAATTTTGCTTGCTGATTCAACATTGATTTCTGAAAGTTAGAGGGTGTCGGGATTAAAGACTCTCATCATTGCAAAGTTGCAATAATGCACATATCAATAAATACTGGTCAGGTGGTAGCGGTCCTCGCTCATTCTCTTGAGCATATATGCACTACTGTTACCGTTTGATGAGCTTATTGCGCTGTTTTTAATTTCCTCTCATCATGGCAGACATGGCTTGCTCATCGTTTCTTTTCCTGAGCCTTGCCTTGCTAGTTATAACTCAAAGTTGTTCAAGGTTGGCCGGTGAAGAAACAGGGGAGGTTCAATACAGAAAGTGCAGCCTGGAGAGGCTAAGCGTTCTGGAACCCAGCACGGTGGTTGAATCGGAAGGTGGGAAGATAGAGTACTGGGATGACCACAATGAGCAGCTTCGTTGTGCTGGTGTGACCCTAGTCCGATACACCATTAGACCTATGGGCTTGCTTTTGCCTTTCTACACCAATGTTCCCAGGATTCACTACGTACTCAAAGGTCTCATCACTCTCGTGCCTGATCTTCCTTCTTGTGGATTTTTCAAAAGACGGTCATAATGTGATTACATAACGATTACATGAGCTACTGCTGTTTTGTCATTTTGTCTGTGTTTGTGTTCTCTGCAATTACCATTGCAGCTGAGCATAGTTCTCACAGCCATTTCGTAATTAATCATTGTGATCTTGGATTTTTTGTTTTGTGGTAAACTTAATAATAATGAGTAATGTAGGGAAGGGTGCCTATGAAACGATAGTAGCTGGTTGTAGGGCATCGTATGGGTCCCGATCAGACGAACACCAAAAGGTCAATGCCATACGGCAAGATGACGTCGTAGCCGTGCCGTCCAGCTCGGCTCAGTGGATTTACAACACCGGCGACTCCGACGACCTTGTCTTGTTCTCACTCATCTACACTGACAACGAAATGAATCAGCTCGATCTCACCTTTCGGGTACCCCATAGAATATTTTAATTTTCATATTAACTTAGATAACACAGACAGCATAACAAAACTTGCTAAGTATTCAAAGATCGATTCATTTGGTAGATTCTGGTGCTTTTTAATCCAGTTAATTTTGCTTTTTGAATAAATATATTCTTGCGAATTCTTGCGCGTCAAAATCAGGGTTGAAATTTTATATTTGATATGAAATATCAAATTGAATAAACATTATTGATGGATCCTGAAAAGATAAGAATCTTTATGATCCATTGACAGGTCTCTTTCTGTTCATCAAAAAACTAACAATGATTACTTATCATGCTTGAGTTTAATAGCTATGCAGGAAAGGTTTGGTTTTTTGAATTTGGGTGTTTATATATGATTCGACAAATTACAGAGTTTCTTCCTTGGAGGGAACCCACAAGAAGAGCCAAAAAGCGGTAACCAGAGCAAGAGCTGGGGCAGGAACCACCAAAAGTGGCAGAAGGAAGCGGAGACGTCAGGCGGCGGAAACCTATTCAGCGGGTTGGCGAAGGAGACGGTGGCCGAATCTTTCAACATAGACACTGAGCTCGCAGACAAGGTTCAGGGCATTAAGGATTCAAGAGGTCCGATCATCTTGGTTGAGCATGGCATTAGGTGGCTGTCCCCAGAACAAGAAGAAGAACAACAACCCGAAGCAGAGAAGGAGGAGGAAGAGAGAAGAAAAAGACGAGGTCATGGTGGAAAAACCACAAACGGAGTGGACGAAACATTGTGTTCTCTTGCATATGTACATCCACTAGGTGAGCCAAGAATGCACGCTGATAAATATAACCCACGTGGAGGCCACCTCACTAGCCTTAACACTCCCAACATGCCTATCCTCGAGTACCTCCGACTTGGCGTGGACCGTGGTGTCCTCTACAAGGTAAAATTATTCACATATAACAAAGCGTAGTGAACGCAAACAAGAAACTGATTAATTAATTAATTATGAATGTTTTGGACGACGCAGGATGCTATCATGGTGCCTCACTACAATGTAAACTGTCACGCGGTGATATACTGCACGAGGGGGGGCGGGTGGATCCAGGTGGTGGGGGAGAATGGACGGAGGTTTTTCGACGGAGAGGTGAGGGAGGGTCAGGTGTTGGTGGTCCCACAGCACTACGTGGTGGTGAAGAAAGGCGGGGCCCACGCATTTGACTGGGTGGCCATTAAAACCAGCGATAACCCAATGATCAACCCGCTGGCCGGAGAGCTGTCCTTGGTCCACGCCACGCCGGACGCTGTTCTGATGAACTCGTTTCGGATGAGCAGGGAGGAAGTGATGCGTTTGAAGAACACTAGAAAAGAACTCACTTTCATCAGCCCACTCCCTAGTGTGTTTATGTACAGTAAGGAATAAAGCTACAATGGAGTACGTACTTCTGAGGCTAGCCAATCTATAGTTTGCTGTGTACTTCGTGTTTGTCCCACTAATTAACTTGTTAGCTGCTTATGTAGCTGCTTGAATAAAAAGTGTATCTTTTAAAGGGGCTTGATTAACTTCCTATCCTCCTCTAATATATAAAGATATTGTCGTAGTAATGTCTTTCCGGTATTAATTGTTGGGCTGTCCATTGTAGTTATATATAATTAAGAGAATGTAATAATACCATAATGTCTTACCGGCTGAGATTACCATTAAAATATATAGAACATATAATTCGGTCAGTCAGTTTGAGTTTTAATGACAATATGCCTACAGACTTCGATGCATAAAGCACTAATAACCATTACTGAGATAAGTTCCATCAGTATCCAGCATGTGTCAAACTCAGAGCGCTCGCAAATATGATACATTATAACATTACACCCCACCTATACCCCACTAACGTATTATATGGATTATGGATTTACGTCTCTCTTATTTTCCTTACTTTATAGATAGCCAGAGCGAATAAAGCTCGAAGTAGCTAGTCATGACTAGCTAGTAGATGATAGCTGAGACCTGCGATGGTGATAATAAAAGAGGAGCTCATCTCTCGGGGGTAAGGAATCCTTAATAATGGGGTGATTGAGAAAATTGGCAGTCCAAGCAACAATATCCGGAAATTTCAGAGGGCCTAAAAATTGAAAGGACCCGACTTGTTCCCAAACAGGGAGCCAGTAGAAGATCCAACCCAGTGCGATGTCCAAGTAGCCTATGTTGTCCCCTCCAAAGAATTTCTTACCTCCAATCTCATCCTCAAGTTTCTGCATCGATTCCCTTCCTACCTGCAACGCACTTTCCTTTTCGTCCCCACTGAAGCACATAGCGATCCACGCGGATTCCAGAATCTGTTAGCAAAATTCAGAATCATGAAGGAAGCTACTCCAGATTCAAACCAAAACAATTTCAGCAGAAACTGTTACTTAAAGATGTTGAGGCAAAGAACTGAGTTTTCAATTTCACCTTTTCTTCAGCAAACTGAGACCAAAAGCGAGCGAGAGCTTTCTGGTAAGGCTGAGGAGGGAGCAACGGACAGTGAATCCAAGTTTCGTCGATGTATTCAAGGATGAGGGATGATTCGATGAGTGGTTTGTGGTGATGAAGCAGAACCGGGACCTTCTTGTGAACCGGATTCAGCTTTAGAAGAAGGCTACTTTTGTTGAAGATATCTTCTTCTATGTATTCGTACTCGACGCCCTTCAGCTTCAGAGCCCACTCTACCCTCCTCCCAAACAGGCTCGCCCAGAAGCTCACTACCTTCACATCTTCTTCCCTTCCCATTACCGCTTTCTCTGCATCCCTTTGAGTCTCTCTGTAATTCACAGTTTATATAATTATTATGTTAATAATTTAATGAACGGCGCAGATGACCCATTGACCGTTGGGTTGTCTTTTTTTTTTTTTTTTTTTACTTTTCGGAAATTTCCTTCTCAATAATCAACTAATTTTATTTTCATTTCAGCTTAAAATGATTTCTCATGTTTAAATTAATTTTTAAATATTTTTAATATTATATTATTAATATAAAAATTTTTAATATTAAATCTGAATTATTTAAAATATATTTAAATAATTAATTTATAAATATTAAATAACATTATTTAAGTTATATTTAAATTGCTTAGAGTATATTTGGATAGTTAAATTATAAAATTATAAAATTTCTCAGTATTAAATTAAACTGTTTAAATTAAATTTATACTAACTAGATTGATAATTAACAGACTTATTAAAATCTTTTATATCTTTTATAAATTTTATTTTAATAAATATATCATTAAATATATTTAAAAAATTATTTTCAATGATCAGCAAAGATCATTTTAGGCTAAAAATAAAATATCAAGATTGCTCCTAATTTGATGAGCACTGAACGTGAACACTGCTTGCTTGATTATTTATTTACCAAAAAAAAAATTAGATGGAAGAAAACTATGTTAGTAAGTTGAGAAGATATTTCTTTTCATTTTTTCCTTTTTAATAAGATATTTTTATTAAAAAAATATGAAATAAATGATTGCTTTATAAAATGTTAATGATAAATTCTATAAAGATAATAATAAATGTACTCCTTTTGATCACAAAGTACCTGTAATTATGTCATCAAAATTAAAAGGATGTTATTAAATTATTAATTTTATATACTCCCTCTGTTGAAAAATGCAATGCATTTTTTAAAAAATTAAATGTTTAAAAATGTGAGATATTTTTAATCTTTTGAGATATAATTATTATTTTTTTTTAAAACTGCCCCTATTGATAGTAACTTTATATTTATTATAGATTGTTTAATAAAGATGAATGTAAAAAGATAGGGTTAATTGAAAAGTAAGTAACTACTTTATTGGAGAGTGAGATTTGATTAAGAATACCTTATATTTTTGAACGGAAAGAGTAAAAATAATAAATTTTTATTTTATTCACGTTTGAATTTTTTTTTAATTTTCACTGCATTGCCTCTCATAAAATCGTAGTTGCTAAATTTAAATAGAAATAATATTAAAAAAATATAATTCACGCCTCATCAAATATCATATATTAAGAATAATATATCTTGTTCTAAAAATGTCTATGTCTCATATAAGGATACATGGGCTGGTAAAAAAAAAAGGATAAACGGGAGTAGATAAAAAAAAATGTTTACTTTTTTCTTCACAAATCATAACAAAATTACTCAAAAAAAAAAAATATTTTCATTAAAAAATATAAGATAATTTTAATTAAATTTTGCCCCAATTAACTAATTAGCTAACTTTATTCAAACTAAAATTATATTTTATATTTATTTTTATTTAATAAGATATTTCATTTAGAAATAAATATAAAATTATTTACTTATTAAAAATATTTTTTACAAATATGTTATATTTTATGATAAAGGTGCAAATTTAGTTATCAACTATTTTTTTAAGAACACTGAGTAGTTTATATTATGAGATAGTATAAAATAAATTACTAACTTTAAAAAACAGAGTATTTAGCACCTACCTTTAATTTCACTTGATAGGCATTATGTCACGGATGATATTTCCGTGACCGTGTAAAGACCAAGATAATGAACGGTCCGCTGGTTAGCCTCGCACAATATGGGTAAAGGGGGCGACATTAGCATTGGGGGTGTTCTGCCTCAGTCTTCGGACTGTGTGCACAACTGGTCGGGGGCTAGTGCCGCCTCCCTGATGAGCCCATGGCAGGGCGAAACCAGTGTGATCCGTACGTGGTAAGGCTTGTCCTGAGGATTATGGGGTCCTCCAGGACGCCGCACGGGCGCCGTGTGCTGCGCCAGACTCTCAGCCCGTGACAGAGTGGTATCAGAGCAAGACGTACTTTACTGTCGTGTGCGCGTGGGGTCCCACGTTGGGACTGGTCGGCCTCGGCACCGCTCCAGAAAGGCCTCCGAGCAGGTGGGTCCAAAAGTGGGGACTCGGGCGGGAAGGTTGGCCGTTGTCGACTCCACTCCTGTTGGCTCGCGGGTGCGAGTGGGTCCGAAGAGTGCAGGACTCGGGTGGCCACTCAGCAAGTAAGCTGATGTGTTTGTGGCAGTACTGTACGTACGATCCTTGGGCGGAGTCGTTCTCCCCTAGCACGAGGGCGTGCTAGATTGGGTGTGGGAGAATGTCACGGATGATATTTCCGTGACCGTGTAAAGACCAAGATAATGAACGGTCCGCTGGTTAGCCTCGCACAATATGGGTAAAGGGGGCGACATTAGCATTGGGGGTGTTCTGCCTCAGTCTTCGGACTGTGTGCACAACTGGTCGGGGGCTAGTGCCGCCTCCCTGATGAGCCTATGGCAGGGCGAAACCAGTGTGATCCGTACGTGGTAAGGCTTGTCTTGAGGATTATGGGGTCCTCCAGGACGCCGCATGGGCGCCGTGTGCTGCGCCAGACTCTCAGCCCGTGACAATTAGCTCCCTATATGAGCCTACCTTTGATTGAAAATTGATATATGGCACTCTACCTCAACATAAGATAAAGGTGTAAATTTAATCATAAATTATTTTTTCGAGAAGCATTAGGTAGCTTTTACTATCGGGTGGTATAAAAGAAATTATTAACTATAAAAAAATAAACAATGTAACATCTTCCCATTAATTTTGGCCAAATATAATTTATTTTCTTAAAAACCTACAACATGTTAAGCCCTCTAATGCTCTTACATTCATTCTTAATCTTATATTAAGAAGCAGAGGTTTAAAAAGTTATTATTTAATTATATTTACGAGGATAGCGCCAACGAAGTAGAAGAAGAAGAGGAAGAATACAAAGTTTCATTTAAATATACGCAATTCAAGTGAAGTAGCAGTTTGAATTATAATACTATTACGTGTGGAAGAAACTTGATTCAATTGCTTCATTTTATATAAAAATAATGCATGACTGAATTTATGATGCTACTATAGGTGCATAAATAATTAGTGGCTAAATTAAGTTTGAAGCAAGCTTCTTCCACGTGTAATAACATCACAACACAAATTGCTGCTTCGCTTGAATTGCCACAAAGATTCAAACGAAACTTTTTTCTACTTCCTTTTGCTCTTCTACTTCACTGGTGTCGTCCTCGTGCATGTCTTCAAATAAGAATTCTTTGAGCTTCTCTTTTCTCAAGCTGAGACCAAGAATGAAGGTAAAAAAATTAAAAAGATTGATATGTTGTGAATTTCATAAGTATAAAAATAAATGACGTTTGATGAAAATTAATAAGAAGGTACTATACAATCCATTTTTAATAGTTGATAATTTTTTTTGTATCATCTTACGATAAAAGTTACTTAGTGATCCTTAAAAAATAATTCATAATTAAATTTGCATTTTTACCCTAAAAAATAATTATTTGTTGAGGTGGGGTGTCATGTGTTATTTTTTAATCAAAATTTTGTAGGCTCACTTGGAAAGCTAACATTTATCAAGTGAAATTAACAGTAAATGTTAGATATTTTATTTTTAAAAATTAAGAATTTATCTCATATCATTTATAATATAAGTTACTTAGTATTTTTTTAAAAATATTTGATAGCTAATTTTCAACCTCCATCCTATTTTTAAAAATTCAGTCTCTTAAAAATTGTCCCGAGAGTTGAGAGTACACTTTGCCCTTTTTAACAATCCAATCATTTTTTTCCCGCTCCTCAAATTTCGCGGCAAACGGTGCCGTGTTGCTTCAGTGGAGAGGCAGTGGAGGAGAACGCATTAGAAACAATCTGACTATCGTGGTCCGATTTCTGCCAGCTAGATTCCCTGCACATGATTACCCTCCCTTCCCTGAAGTCGAAATCCCACAGCAAAACGGCGGTAACGGCAATCAGTCTTTTTCCGAAAGCTAAAGGTATCGTTTTTCCAATTCACGGCTGAATGGCTATTGCCAATCTTCTTACTGGAGAGGTGAGAATGTATTTCCAGTTCAAGTCTTTTCTTCTTGATCTTTCATTGGTTTCCTTGAAACTGGATATCTGTCCGTTTCTTGAATTTTACATTCGAGACTTGCGAGTGTAGTTGGCAAATATTTCTCCTCTTTTTTTTTCTTGCTTTGTATCTTTTGTCATTTAAGAATTGTTTCAAATGTGATAAAATTCATTTGCCCCTGTCCTAATGAAGCAATTTGATATGGATTGATAAGAGAAGCTGTGGCCTGGAAAACTTGGTGATCAATATGACCTTGACAACAGTCCCCAGATGGTATACTGAAATTTTCAAAATGCTGATTGAATTTGATGCATTTATTCCGCGGGACTATGTTATGAGTTCCACATGAGGAAGCCTGCCTCCCAAGAAAGTAGGGTTTATAAATTTAAGGGACTCATCTAGTCTTTTGGGATGGGGCTTTCTATCTGGATTTATGCTCATAACAGTCAGTGGAAATAGATTATTTAGCACTTCCATGCAAGTTAATAATCAGTTGAAGTTAGGAGATATGAACCACTAAGTTGTCAAGAGATTAGTACATTAGAACTTTTGTTTGACGGCTTTAGCATCGAACTACTTTTATTTTTGAAATTATTAATTATTTTCTTAATATTTAGCCCCCGGCCCTTAGCCTCAGGTCTCTGCACTAACCATCTGCCTTCAAATGTGTGTTTGGAAATTGACAACAATTTATCATTAATTTTTTAGGAATGTCATGCTGCCAGTGCCATTGATTCTATCTGGATAATCGCTAGTTAGTTTCATTTTTCTTCTCCTGATCTAATCCGTTATGTGACTCTAGCTTGTATTACTTTGTGTCAGTTTCATCATCCAACTTGATTATCCTAATGTTTGTCTGACACCAATTGACCATGCCCTTCTCGAGCTTTTGCTGTCACTAGTAGGCTTAGTTGTATCTGACTGCCACCGCTATAGTGTACCTGATTGTTAACATTGACTTCCTCTCCATTGGGTTCAGCCTGGTGTCAGATTCATGTTCTACCTCAGTAGAATTGAGCACACATTGCGCATACCTCCTCATCTTCTTAGCCTTCCAATTCAGGAGTCTATACATAAGGAGCTTGAGAAACTTTTCTTGGATAAGATTTGATGGGCTGTCATTTTGATTTTCACTTATGAACTTCTTTTGTGCAGTTTAATTTATTAAATTTTCAGTGCTGATGCTGATATGGTTTTCTGTGATGATAAAGGTTATTGCAAATTTTAGGCTGTGCATTTATGTCTATGACATTAGATCCATTGAGGGCGGGTTTATCTTCCCTGACGATGGTGCTGCGACCTATACGGTATATGTTCTTAACTTGAGAACTCTACATTTGGCCTTGAGGCTTTTCATCATATGATATAGGTTTAGGTCTTGGTGGTGCATTTTGCTGTGGGATTGAATATTTGATAAACGATAGCCTGTACTGATTATTTTGGCCTTACATAAGCATTACGAGGAAAGAAAGAAAACTGATGTTCAAAAGACAATCAAAATTGTGATTGGTAGACACATAAATAATACTTTTATATGCAATTAGTTGATAAAAAATTAGTTTTTTTTAATGATGTGTTGACTTTGTTGTGTTTACTTTAATCATGTTCCGTCCATTTATAGGGGACATCATTACTGCTGAATTGCTAAAGTTCTGATGCTGATGGTTTACGCTGTATGCCCATGATTTTCCTCTACTTCTTGATTGCAATTTTCACCTAAATTGCATCGTTTAGTTGCTGTCTAATTTCTTAATTTTTTTTCTCTAGATATGTGCTGCTCTCATTTATTTTTTTGCAGAGCCTTTTTCACTTCTAACTTGCTGACTCCTGTTAGTAACAAAGTACAACATACAGATGATGTTTTTGCTAACCTGTCTAGCGGGTGCAAAGTATGATACTTCCTCCATCCCAAGTTATAAAACACTTTGAGAGAAGAGTCAACGTCTCAAAATATAAGACACTTTAATAAAAATAAAGTTTTATTAATGATATTTCTTCAATATTACCCTTTTCATATATTTTTTCTCTTCAATATTCTTTCATCAATGAAGTATTAAATAAAGTGAATTCTTAAAAGTTTATATTTTTGTTTTGAAAAAGTAATATTGTAAAGTATATTTAATGAGTTTTATTGGTATGTGAAATTTTATTTAAAAGTTTCTTATAATTTAGAATGGAGGGAGTATTTGTTTTCATTCTTTTACTCCCTCAGTAATCCCTTTCTAAATGTCGCATGTTTCTGGTGGTTAGTGACTTTTACATAATCTCCACTCTAGCATTATGAGGTTTTTGTCCTGAACTTCTTGCCCGATATCTGTGCTATTTCTTTCTTTTTTCTTTATTTGTCAGAGTGAGAAAAGACTCTGAATTTAAAAAGAGTGAGTTTTTGTGTGGTTGAAATTCCAGAAGAGTGTCAAAGGCAGTAATTAAAATAAACCTTCGTGTTAAACTGTGAATCTGATCAAATCTAATGTCTATTTGTGCTTCTTTATTTCCTTTTTTGCATAATGTTTCTCACATCATGTAGCTCCTTTTTTCACATGTTTGCATCATGTTATCATTTCTTGTTGTTCAGTGGTAGGGATATTTATTAATAATTCCTTCGTAGTTGTAATGTTAACCTCTGTTTGACAGTATCACTTGGATTCTTTGGTGACATTTATGTGCCAGTGCATCACATGCCCAATCCATCCCATTTTGACGGCGAAGCAAAAAATAGGTGATGTTGCTTGCACAGTTCATCTAAAATTTGAGATGACCTTTAAACCTTCTGTGATACGGTGCCTTCAAATAGTCTTCTGCTTTGTTGAGATTAATAGGCGTTTTTATCTGAATTTTGAACGCCATACTTATCTGCTTCTATTCAAACTACAGCAATAAAGGCACGTGGTTTTGGGATTTTAATGATCAATCATGTCCTATTGATGATACTGATGAGGTTCACTTCCTTCTACTTTAGCATTATTTCAACTAACTGCTTGGAATGTAAGAATATGCTAATTGCGAGTTGCAATATCACAGATCAAATGCTTTCAAAATGTGAGTTACCCTTCAATTCCAGAAGAGCAGCCAAAAGAATCAAAGCTATTTGCCCCTATGGTGTTTACTGTATTTATTTTAACCTTTATAGTAAGTAATGATAATGATTGATTGATGGAGAAAAGGGGGATGAGAAAGATATATAGTGGCTTTGCTTAGACATTTTGTTATCTTTGTATACATTGAGTTGTTGGCATATTTAAATATTTCCCCCTCTTTGGTTAGCACTTAGGAAAAGGAATACCTTTCCATTGCATGACAATTTAGATGTGAAATATATATTATATCTCTTTATTACTTAATAAGAACTATTTCTTGTTCTAATAATTTTTATTTAAGAACACATATGACATTTTATATTTAAAAGGTTACTTTTTCTTTTTAATTTTATTCCCTTTCTTTCATGCCTTTTCATTTCGCAAACCAAATGAGTTTGAGACAACCTTGGGGAAAGAAAAATTTATAATTACTATTTTATATACTGGCACCTTGATGCAGAAAACTGTGTCTTAGCAGAAGACTTCAATTCTACTAGCAATAAAAGCCATAGGGTAGAATCCAGTGGCGATACTAGGATCCTGAGCTATTGGGTGCAACATTGTTCAAATTAATAATTAAAAGTTTTTTGAACTTAAAATCTTTAAAGTTTGGTCAAAGGTGCAAAATATTTGGATTAAGGGGTGCGAAATATTGAAATACATGAACTTTTCTTGTACTTTTCTCCAAGCTCAAGGGTTGCATTTGCCCCTCTTGGCTTCAATATAGTGCCGCCCATGGTAGGACCCTCCCCGGCAATGCATGTTATTGAAACTTGGAAGTGTGACTCATCACGTCTTTCATTATGGGAAGCATGCCTTATCAAGTTGTCTATTTTATAGGGTTCATTGGATCATGATGGTCTTGGCCCAGTTTCATGGTGGTATGAGACGCGAGAAGTTGAGGACGAGTAAACGTCAGTTTAAAGAGCTTAAGGCGTCGCCAGATGACGAGTTCATTACACCCTCCAAAATTATGCCAGAAGTGGTGGCTGCTTTATGGGTCAAAAGATCTTATTACTTTTGAAAAGGCCTCAGTGAGTACTTCCTGCTTAGTTGCATCTCAAGATCGGTGATGTACCTTCCTCAATGTCTTTGCCTGTAGAAGTATTCCCTTTTTTATAATTCATTTGTTTGTTTCCTTGCTTGCATGTTAAGCTTACATGTGCTTTTGGTTCTTTTAGTTATATTTTATTTTGATTTCTTTAATTTTTTTATTAGTGCAATTTTGCTTTCATACTTTTCAAATTCGGCAATTTTGTCCCTGCCAGACCATTATAAATGAAAGCTAGTCTTGATGACTTGGTTGTTGTCTTCTGACATGGCTATTGATAAATCTGATGTGGCTCTCTTCTAGATACATGTGGCATCAAATGCAAAGCCTGTGAACGTACGTTCCTCGTTTGCCCCGAATTTGGACTCCATCTCAGTAACCATAGTTGGCTGTGAAGATTTTATACTATTATATTTAGTTATTGATACGCCAATCATACGTTGTGCTAGTAATTTATTTGCCAAAGCTTCCTTCAAAGACAACAAAGCTCTGTAGCAAAAAAAAAAAAAAAAAAGGAACAACCAAGCTGAAACTTTTCTGCCGAAAATTTCTGTGCCGAAGAAATGTGAGTGACTTAAGCACATGTCATGAGGACTTGCCAACACTGATATTTAATCAAGTATTAGCCCGCCAATAGATTTTCATTGAAACGAAGAAAATGGCCAAACAGACGAAGGAAGGAGAGCAAAATATTTATAAGATTGCCAAGAGTAGGGAAAGAAAATCAAGAGATCTAGAACAGGTAAGGTGTATTAAGGATGAAGAGGGAAGAATTTTAGTTACAGATGATGAAATTAAAAATAGATGGGAGACTTATTTTTCTAAACTTTTCAATGATGGAGAGGATTCATCTAGTAACTTGGAGGATTTAGTAACTGGTGAAGGAGAACAAAATTTGTCATTCTATCGAAAAATACGTGATAAGGAGGTAAAGGAAGCTCTTAAGAAAATGGCAAATGGTAGAGCTAACGGACCTGATTGTATATCTATCGAAGCGTGGAAATGTTTAGGTGAAGAAGGGGTGAGATGGTTAACTAAGTTATTTAATGTGATTTTACGGTCCAAGAAAATGCCTGATGAGTGGAGGAGAAGTACATTAATTCCTATTTATAAAAATAAAGGAGATATTCAGAATTGCACTAACTATAGAGGGATTAAACTCATGAGCCACACAATGAAATTGTGGGAGAAAGTAATTGAGCACAGGTTGAGATTGGAGACAAGTATTTCTGAGAATCAATTTGGTTTTATGCCAGGTAGATCAACTACAGAGGCGATTTATCTACTAAGGGGATTAATGGAAAAGTATCGTTGTAAAGATAAAGATCTACACATGGTTTTTATTGATTTGGAAAAAGCTTATGACCGTATACCAAGAGAAGTGCTTTGGAAAGCGTTGGAAAAAAAGGGAGTACGGATTGCTTATATTAAAGCCATACAAGATATGTATGAGGGGGTAAAAACTAGTATAAGAACACCTAGTGATCAAACAAAGGATTTTCCTATAAAGATTGGACTACATCAGGGATCATCTCTGAGTCCTTATTTGTTCAACTTGATTTTAAATGTTTTGACGGAACATATTCAAGAGGAAATCCCGAAATGTATGCTCTTCGCGGATGATATAGTTCTTATAGCAGAGACAAGAGAAGAGGTTAATTGCAAACTTGAGTTATGGAGGAGGACGTTGGAGTCGAAAGGTTTTCGTCTGAGTAGAAGTAAGACGGAATATTTATATTGTAAATTTGGTAAAGGACTATTCGAAAATAATTTGGAAGTGAAATTGGGAGATCAAATTATACCTCAAGTGGAAAAGTTTAGATATTTGGGAGCCATTATTCAAAATGATGGCGAAATCAGTGGAGATATTTCACATAGAATTCAAGCTGGGTGGTTTAATTGGAGAAAAGCTAAAGGAGTTATTTGCGACCGTAAGGTGCCTAATAAACTTAAAGGAAAGTTTTATCGCACTGCTATCAGACCGGCAATGTTATATAGTAGTGAATGCTGGGCTCTAACGGGACAGCAAGAGCATAAAGTTGGAGTAGCAGAGATGAGAATGTTACGATGGATGTGCGGACATACACGTAAAGATAAAATTCGAAATGAGCACGTACACGAAAAAATGAGAGTGGCACCTATTGAGGAAAAAATGGTAGAAAATCAGTTGAGATGGTTTAGGCATGTACAAAGAAGACCAAGGGAGGCACCAGTGAGAAGAGTGGAACATATAACTTTGAGTCCGATTAAAAGAGGTAGAGGAAGGCCTAAGAGAACACTCTTGGAAGTTGTTGAACGCGATCTCTTAATTAATAATATTTCTAAAAGCTTAATAAATGATAGAGCACAATGGCGTCTTGCAATCCATGTAGTCGACCCCACCTAGTGGGATAAAGGCTTGTTGTTGTTGTTGTTGTTGAAGAAAATGGCCAAACAAAAAATTATGGCAAAATTATAATTAAGTCTCACAAAAGAAAATTTATTATTGACAAGTCTTATAAAATTTATAAAATACTTTTAAGTTTTAAATTCTAACTATTTATAACTTGACAAACGATATTTATAACAAGCTAATGAGTATTTACACTTTGAAAAAAAAAACTTGTAATACTAAGTTGTAATTGTCCATTGATCAATTGTAAATACTTTTTGTCAAATTGTAAATGTACAATATTTGAGAATTGAGAATATTTTGTAAATTTCGATAGATTTCTTGATAATAAATTCTTTTTTGGGAGATGGAAGTATAATTTTTTCAAGAATTATTAATTTCTTCACATGCATGCTAGAGCAATAAGTGGAGTACAGGACGGGATGAAGTCGGATATGGCCATCGTGTTGTCCAATAATTGGTGCATGGCTTGCTTGACACATCCGTTAGAAAGAAGCTAATTTCAAAGCACGCCACCACGATGGCTACAATTCTTACAATCCGGTAGCCACATCAGACACCCGCTAAATGCAGGTCGAGCCAGAAAGGATAACAGATTAAAAAAAAAAACTCTCCTAACAAATATTTAATATGACTGTATACACAAGGCTTGAGCCGAGACTAGTTAAATTAGCACGGTTGCCTGAGCTGCGCGCTCATTGGTTCAAAGCTCAAACAATGGTATTTGTTTGTGCATGATATGCTTTTGGTATAACAAGTAAATTGAAATTAAAATTTAAAGACTAAATCTTGTTAATATAGTAAGCAATTTTTGATAAATAAGTGGTCTCACATGTCACAACTCACATGTGATATCATAAAATGTGATAGAACGACCGGTTTATTGTGGGCTTACTGATGATTATATTTAATAATTAATATATTTAAATGGTTGGTTAGGATTGCTTTATTTTTTTAATGTATTAAAGTATTTTCTGATTATAAATTTACAAGTGAAAGTGATAGTTTATACTTCGGCGTAGAAGATGGTTCCTATTCATCACCATAACAAGAAAAGACTTAGGGAGAATTATATTAAAATCTCATAGAAAATAATTAATTACTATAAGATTCATTAACAACTGAACTAAGACTATTGTCAATAGATTTTATAATAATTAATTCTCTTCTGTAGGACTTATTGGAAATTGTGCCCTAGGACATTCATTCATTGTAATTTATAATGAATTTGTCCTTTATTATCATACTAGTTGTATGTTCACTTTCGTAATTATATCATAGGATAAATTGTAATGACTATCCTGATCGATCACCTTTGTGGGAATAAAAATGAAGACTAGTATAATTTTAATTGATGTATGGTGATACGAACCAAAATCATGGGTACTTATAAGAGTATAAGATGTTGGACCGACTCGCCATGAAAAAACTGCATGAATCAAGTCATAAATTTATCTCATATATAAACGTATTACCAAGCCATTTGATCAGAGATCATCATGAACTTCTCCATGATGATTGTTAAGCTTTGACTTGGTCAAAAGTAACTTTGAATTGGGTGATTATAAAGGCTATGATTGAGTTTTGTGGATTTCATGTAGAGGAATGTGAATAGTCAAGGTAAAAATTGTCCCTCACATTAGTAGAGAGATGCCACTAAACCCCTTGATGAGTGAGATTGAGAAATGCATGGCTATGCTACAATGAAAAAAAAGTTTTCATTTCTATAGTCAGTCTACTTAGAAATTAAGAAAGTAATAGTCACATAAAAGAGGATGATATTTTCATGCCTCATACTTGATCAAAATATCACATGATAAAAGGGATGTAATATGGTTGTATTACAGGTTATATCAAATCACTGAACCCTATGTGATTTAGATAATTGCAATGTTTTGCTTGCTACTTGTGGACTAATGACACTATTGGCCTCCAACTAACTTTATATAGGCCTACAGAGTTGCACACAATAATGACCTAATTAGAGCTATAATATCCAGATTCAACGAATACAACATTTTATAGATAAGGCGTCCTAGTTGATATATAGATAAGGAAGGAATACAACATTTTAATTTAGGATGAATAGATTTTATATTTGTGTGTGTTTATATATATATATATATATATTTATTTATGTGATAAATATTTATATGTGTATATAATATAAAATTCAAATTCAATATTATATAATACAATGCATATATTTGTATATTATATTATATTATATTGTGTTAGCATTAAATTTATTTCTATAAGATAGGATACATTTAATAACTTATATGACATAGAAAGATATCATATAATTTTTGAAATTTGAATTTATGAGATAAAGTCAAGTTGAAAAAATCTTATAAGATATGATATCTTAAATTTAATTCATGAAAATAAATTAAATTGATTTTGGTTGGCTCTTAAATGGATTAAATAAAATAGTTTAAATTAATCTATTGGATAGATCTAAATTTAAACTAACCTATTTAATTTGATTTTAAAATTGATAAGGGTTAATGAAGAAATTAAATCTTCAAAATTAATCCTTATTAAATTCAAATATATCTTCAAAAATTTGATAAATAACTTCTATATAAGATAGAGGCTAGGGTTTTTCAAAAACGCTAATGGAAAAGTGGTGAGATGCCATGCGAGAAAAGAAGGAAATCATGACTTCTTTAGGTGACAAACAAACAAACGTTAAAAGTTTGAAGCACAAGCATGTTGTTTGAATTCATGTGAATATTGATAGAGAGAGCTGGTCATGGAGATTTAATTTCTTAGATCCAAACAAAAAAGATCATTAAGGTTGCAAGTGTAAAGATAAAGTTATATCTACTCTAATTTAAATGACGTCATTTGATCTGTGATTGAAATTAAAAACTTTAAAATTTAATTTTTT